CATGGCACGAGTCGTCCCACACCTCCAGCAAATCCCCACACACACTCCTCTCCTGGAACGCTCCTGATTAACATAATCAGACGCATTAATTATTCAGGAGGTGTGTGAGCCGCTCCAGGGGTCAGGCTTTTGCTCCGTCTAATAAGCCATGTTTAATATTAACGAGGCAGACAGGCGGTGTGATTTGCATACTCTTTATGATGCCTGCTGGCTGCAGAGATGCTTGCGTTGGGTTTCTCCTCATGCTCTCCCTTTTTATCGTCCACCTGACAAAGCCCAATCCTGAACGGCATTATACAAAAGTTGCATGCTTTTTAAAGCTTATAAAGCCTTTGGTGTCTTTAAACGCGGACACATTTTACTTTCATTTCCTTAATGCACAATGCTGATATGTATAGCTCACGGCTAGCGGGGAAAATGCCTGGTTTTTGTTTACTTTTAATGGTGTCACAAGCAGCATGGTGAACACTAATGAGCAGATACTGTCCTCAGGCTGTGAGTGTGTGTGTGTGTGGCATCTCTATTCCACAGAGACTTTCTGTAGCCATAGGGGTGGTCAGATAATATGCTAATAATATAGTTATTTTGAGTGATCCGACCATTGGTGACATGTAGTGTTGGCGACTAAGTAACTAAAAGTAGCGATGATACACTGCAAACAAAGAATTATATAGTTTATTATTTTTGTCTCGTTGTCCAATAAATATATAAAACCTTCGACAAGACACATTAAAGGGATAGTTCACTTTGAAATTAATTTTCGGTATGTTTTACCTTACCTCAAGGGCATCCAAGATAAGATGTAGGTGTCTTTGTTTCCACAGTAGTTTCAATTTTTGATATTTTTAGGTCAAACCGTTCTTGTCTGTCAGTTATGGAGGTCTATAGATGGTCACTACCTTAAACCACCCTAAAGTACAAATTAAACATGATTTAATGACATTGATGGCCTAAGACACGAAACGAGCGGTTTGCGTGAGAAAACGAACAGTTTTTATTAGGGTTGGGTATCGTTTGAATTTGAACGATTCTGATTCTGATTCCGATTCCTTGTTTCGATTCCGGTTCCTAACGATTCTCGATTCCGATTCTTTTAAGAGGCAGGGTCAAAAAAGTTTAGCTAACCTTGCTAACCAACGGCCTTTCTGAAGGAAATACTCCTGTCACAAATACTCTTTTTGTCACAAAGTTTGCATTTTGCCGAGATTTCGTTATTTTTAGAAAAGTGAAGCCACACTTTGGATCGCCGACGTAAGCTACTCATGTTCGACTTGCGCGGTTATGCCAACACTTCCGGTAGACGCTTCTTCGTTGGTGTTGTTCAGCGGTTTCTTCTTCCGCTCGGCGGACTGTGAATATCGAAACTAGGAATCGAAATTTTAACTTTTGAACGATTCCGGGAAAAACGAAAAGTTAGTCTCGGTTCCAATCGATACTCGATTCTCGATACTCAACCCTAGTTTTTATATCGTTTTTACCTCTTGTAACCACAGCCACGTCCAAGTGATTTGAGGCCGTGGTCGCTTCGGTCCGCGTAAGCTCCGGAAGTGATCTCTTGCCGTAAAAGAAAACAATTACAGCGGTTTTATTTAAAATTAAAATTAGTACCATTTTAATTAGCCGTCTTATACAATCTCTGTTCTGTGTAAACAACATATGACGTACATGCGCGAGAGATCGAATTCCTTAAAGGAGTTGTTCACTTTTGAAAAAAAAAAAACTTTTGCTGATAATTTCCTCACCCCCATGTCATCAAGATGTCCATGTCTTTCTTTCTTCAGTCGAAAAGAAATTAAGGTTTTTGATGAAAACATTCCAGGATTTTTCTCCATATAATGGACTTCAATGGGGTCCAAACGGATCAAGATCCAAAAGACAGTTTCAGTGCAAACTGCAAACTGTTCAAAGGGCTTTAAACGATTCCAGACGATGAATAAGGGTCTTATCAAGCGAAACGATCGCTCATTTAATAAATAAATAACAAAGTTTAAGTTTTAAAAGCTCAAATGCTCGCCTTGCTCTGTTCTGTGATGAGCGTTTGTGACTCTCCTGTTCGAACTCGATCTTCAAAATGAACGAATCTTATTCTGAGTCATTTGGTTAATTCAACGAACAAATTGACGAGTTCAAACAGGAGAGATGCTGGAATGTTTTCATCAAAAACCTTCATTTCTTTTCGACTGAAGAAAGAAAGACATGGACATCTTGGATGACACGGGGGTGAGTAAATTATCAGCAAAAGCTCCTTTAATGTGGCTCCTTTAACTAGGAAAACAAGTTGGTTTTTATATGCAGGGAATTAATTCGACGCGATGCGACAGGAGGTTGAAAAACAAGAGGTGGCCGAAAGGAAAGTTGTGTTAGAGACTGAGTAAGTTATGCCTTTTGATTAAATGTTACAAAAACAGCTTTCTTCTTCTTCTTCTTCAGAATAATGTGCAGCGCTGAGAAGGACTCAATTTCGTCATGTGGTTTCCAACGCTCCTAGATCACACGTTTCCTCCCCCAGCAGAAGGTTATTTAGATGCTTGTCCAAACTGACACATTATTTTGATAGGGCAACAACCACTTGTGCTGAATTCACATCACAGAGAAACAAATCTTTCACCCTAAATTGGCTATTGAATTGCAATTAGGCTGCGCACAGAATCATATGCTGAACGCTGTGCTGTTTTGATCTTCATAAGGAATATTTCATAGAAACTTCTCATTAATGCATTGGACGTGTGCCTGACCTCTCAGCCCTTTAACTGACAGTGGAGGGTAAATAAATAATTAAAGGGCATTTTGCCACTGTCAGTGAGATTGCATATTGCACCGTTGACATTTTGAAAACAAATCTGGGATTCATGAGCTATCACTGTGAGGGATCGGCAGAGGCTATTAGTTCGACTGACAGAAATAGACGTGAGATCATGAAATATCGTCCTGTAATCTCACTGATTTATGAGGGTGTGTTGCCGTTTCATCGAGAACCACCACAGATTTATTGCCACTCAGGTGGAATTATTAATGAAGCTCGGTTTGCCAAAGCTGACGAAGCCGTCTTTCTCTGTGTGGTGTGTGTGTGTGTGTGGTGGACATAAAGATGGTAACCAATCAAACAGATCAACTCAACACAAGCTTTTCAGTCGTTCTTTAAAGGGTTAGTTCACCCAAAAATGAAAATTAAGTCATTAATTACTCACCCCCATGCTGTACCAACCCCGTAAGACCTTCGTTCATCTTCGGAACACAAATAAAGATATTTTTGATTGAATCTGAAGGCTGGATCAGTCTTCTATAGACAGCCTGAGGGACTGCCTCTTGACGGCCCAGAAAGTCATTAAAGAAAAGGTTTAAATATTCCATGTGCCTACAGTGGCTCAACTATAACTTTATCAAGCGACGAGACTACTTTTTGTGCGAAAAAAAAAACGTAAATAACGACTTTATTCCACTATTCCATTACTTCCTTATGGGCGCATGCGCGAGAACTGAGACGAGACCGTTCTTCTTCGACTACTTTTTGTTACCGGCTGCTCACCGCTTAGGAGTTTTACCGCCCCCTACCGTATAAGATGACGTACTGCTTGTAAACAGAACGTTTTGCGCCTCCGGCTATATCAGTACGTCATCTTATACGGTAGGGGGCGGTAAAACTCCTAAGCGGTGAGCAGCCGGTAACAAAAAGTAGTCGAAGAAGAACGGTCTCGTCTCAGTTCTCGCGCATGCGCCCATAAGGAAGTAATGGAAGGTCGAATAAAGTCGTTATTTACGTTTTTTTTTCGCACAAAAAGTAGTCTCGTCGCTTGATAAAGTTATAGTTGAGCCACTGTAGGCACATGGAATATTTAAACCTTTTCTTTTAATGACTTTCTGGGCCGTCAAGAGGCAGTCCCTCAGGCTGTCTATGGAAGAGTGATCCAGCCCTCAGATTCAATCAAAAATATCTTTATTTGTGTTCCGAAGATGAACGAAGGTCTTACGGGGTTGGTACAGCATGGGGGTGAGTAATTAATGACTTAATTTTCATTTTTGGGTGAACTAACCCTTTAACCCCTTTGCGCTTCATTTGTAGAGCGTTATTGTTACTAATAGGACGGTTTTATTGATTTTGTCACATTTGTTGAATTCCTGCTGTTTTTGCGCACACCCAATAAAAAATATTGTTGGTTTAACTTAAAAATGAAGTAACCTGGTTGCCTTAAAATTTTAAGTTCATTGACCTGGAAAAAGTGAGTTAATACAATGAAGGAGAATGATTTAATCATCAGAAACTCAAAATTATATGTTATCTGAACTAAATAAATTATTTAAGTTGATTTGAAGACATTGTTCTGCAGGTTCGTCGTCGCTCGCTCTGGCTCGAATATGTAAGGCTTGATGGACAAGTCTTCTGTTGTTGACGTTTTATTAACGTGTGAATAAAAATGTTCTTTGAAGGTATCGTATATAATCGTATATCTCTAATCAAACTACAATAATGGCCGAACGTGGGGAGTTGAACCGACCGTGAACTCATCGACCTGGAGAGCGGGCGGGGAAAGACGCATCTCCTTTTTATTTAAAGGGGCCGCTTTGAAACGGGTCGCTCACAGACGCACATCAGAAAAGGGGCTTGTGGAGCTATAATAATGAGGAATTCAGACCCAAGCATTGCAGTTATGCTTTATATAGACCACAAATGTATGATTTATAAGTAAAAATGAATGATTTAAAAGCATAATATGTACCCTTTAATGATTTAAGGGTCAAGAGCCCAAATAAAGGGAGCACTGACCACCATTATGGTGACTTACGTTTTTCTCCTTCAGTGAATCTGCTTGTTCAATAATGCTCAATTATCACTCAGTTGTTCTCATTAACTTTAACACAGCTTCAGAGTTTATTTAACACTCTGCTCCGAGTTTATATAATTCACAGTCTCGGTGGTAATTTAACACTGAGGATTTTGCTAACATGAATGGGGAAAACACTAAAAATGGGTGTCCAGTTTATATAATATCAGACTAAGAATATCAATTCAAAATGTTTATTGAAACACTTGTTTGGCCAGAAATACAAGTATTTCCTTTATCAAAAAACTAATAATATTACATGAATTTTTCTTCATAGAGAGTTGCTCAGTGTAAATTCTGTTAATACATTAGAACATATTTTTTTTTTAAATATTACAACCTTTTTAAAAGACATTGCAAATTAAAAACTACCCAAAGAGTAGCAAAAAGTAAAGCAAACTTAAAAAGAATCAGTATATTCTGTCATACGGAGCATTAATGTATGGAGTAAGGAAAAAAAAAACATAAAAAAATGCTTTTTTTATGATTTGATTATGATTTGTTGCTTTTACAAATCTGGTTTGCATGATCTGTCAACAGTAGCTCTACACTCTTAGAAATAAAAGTCCTTATTTATCGTAGAATATTAAAACGTTCTTCGCGGCACCGAAAATGGTTCCACAAAATCTGGCATCACTGTAAAAAAAAAAAAAAAAAAAAAAAAAAAAACCTTTTGGAAAGTTTATAGAAGTCAATTTTCCATGCATTTTCTCCATAGACATTTCTCAAAACATTGTTGTGAGCCAACCTGGACCTGAAAGAAACCAATCAGCTCCACTGATACAGTCACTTGATACGTTATACATCTTCTTTTTGGACATTATCAAAGGTATTTTACTTCTGGAAGCCTACAGCTTTGCTCTTTCGATGTAGTGATCTTGGTACACTGTACCTGAATATAAATAGCTGAAATATGCATGACTGCAGTCAATTATTGTCATAACTAAGATGTCATTGACCATTATTATTATGCATAACATTATTAACATCATTAAAAAATACCGTTTAAAAAAATCATTTCGTGATCATTAGAGAAAAATCACACTTAAGAACGAACACACTGTACTGTGCAAGAAGACAGTGATAAAAGTCATTTTAAATCATGATCTATTTTTAAACCTATTCAAAGATGTTCACAGAGATTATGACGAAAGCATCCCTCGTTTCCGCAATCGTACATGTTGGCCATGTTTATTGAGGCATCACCAGTTTTGGAAAGAAAGCAGGAACCATCAATCCTACGGTGTTGATAGTGCGGTTTCACGTGTGTGTTTCGTTTCCGTGTTCTCGCTGGAGATGTTGAGTTCGGACGGGTCAGTTAGAGGTGTCCGAGTGAACGCTGTTTGCTCCCTCTATAGGAGACGTCACAGAAGACGGAGTGACCGCATCATGCCAGCCACCGTTACCCTGGAAAGAGACACACAAGAGACTATTTGAGCGGTGTAATTAAAGCCAGAATGGAAACATTAGCCGGTATTGATTTTTTTTAAGAGTAAGATCAGATAAAACGCTGTGTTTGTATCCATTTTGTTTAAACTGTTGTTCACCATGCTGAAACAAAATCCAGTTTAAACCAGCCTAACCATGTTCAGGCTGGTCTATTCATGCGGTTTTAGAAGACTCCTAGGACACAAGTAAGTCGAGTAATGTAATCAGATACGTATTTTAAAGGGATAGTTCAATTTTGTTTGTTATGTCTTTGTTTCCACTGTAGATGGGTCAAACCGTTCTTGTCTGTCAGTCATATAATGGTGGTCTATGGTCACCACCTCAAAGAGCTTGCACAGAGAAGTCCAAATTAAACATGATTTAATGACTCGTAAATGTAAGTACACATTGATGGCCTAAGACACGAAACGAGCGGTTTGTGTGAGAAAACGAACAGTATTTATATCGTTTTTACCGGTCTGCCCCTCAGATCACTTGGACGTGGCTGTGGTTACAAAAGGTAAAAACGATATAAATACTGTTCGTTTTCTCACTCAAACCGCTCGTTTCGTGTCTTAGGCCATCAATGTGTACTTACATTTACGAGTCATTGAATCATGTTTAATTTGGACTTCTCTGTGCATGCTCTTTGAGGTGGTGACCATAGACCTCCATTATAAGAACGGTTTGACCTAAAAATCTCAAAATTGAAACTTCTGCGGAAACAAAGACACCTACATCTTGGATGCTCTTGTGGTAAGCTAAAACATATCAAACATTAATTTCAAAGTGAACTATCCTTTAAGTAACTATTAAACTAATAAAAAATTAAACAAAACATCTTATTAAGTTTGTTTCGCCATCTATTGACAGCTCTCCTGTTCCCATGTTGAGAGAAATGGTAAGTGCAGAGGCGTTGTGTGAACATGATGCTAATGTAGTTCTAGACTAAATGTGAGCATTTACACGTCTCACTTGCGCAGATTGAGTATTCCTCAAAATGAATAAAAACGGTGAAAGTCAGAATTTTACACAAACCTGCAATAATTAAATGCATGTGTTTTGAAAGGGCCTTTATGTTGTTGTTAAAAACAAACCAGCAAGACCCGCCCAGATGAACAAAAAGTAACACAAAATACTGTAAAGGATCACTTTCATTAAAAGTAACTAGTTACTTTCTAGAAGGTAACGCAATATCGTAACAGATTACTTTTAAAAGTAACTTTTCACAACACAAACCAGGGAGACCAATAGACTTACTTGTGGAAATACATATGATACATATCGTTTGATTTAAATAATTGAGTGATTTAATTTAATTGTTAAGCTAAGTATAAGCATTCAGGTCCATATTTATGACATTTTTTGACATGTTTAGTCAATGTAACTCAATTATCTAGGCTGGAAAGAGTCAACTAGCTAGATTCTACACTGAAAAAGTCCTATTCTTGTTTTTTGGGTAATTTTTTGGTCTAATTTTAAGATGTTATATTTATTGTTATTTACACCGACAGATTTTTTTTTACTTGTTTAAATACGAAAAAAAAAAATCTATAATTGGTATTAACAAGCTTTGTATTTGAAAAACAAGTCCCTCACGGCACTATGAAAATCTTTCTAATTTCAATGATTTTTAGATATTTTACCCATAAAACAAGACTAAACCAATTTGGAAATCATTGTTTTTGTAATGTGAAGGTTGTGTACAAATGTTAGTAAGTGTCTAAGACATCTGAAGCTATTCATCCTGCCCTTAATTTCTCTTTGTGGTAAGGCTATGGATGATTGTTTTGCTCTCGCATTAATATTTCGCTTTCTCCTCGACGTGGCTGCCTCAATAGATACATGAACCTTTAACGCTGTGACTCCATTATAAAGCATGTCTTATCAAACCTCATCTGGGAAGATGCTATTCACATCTGTACAAAGCTGCAGGCAATTCCAGTTTCATATTTTATTATAGTGATAAGGAAATGGACCGCAAATTCGCTCCGAGAGAGAGAGTGTGTGTGGTTCAATAAGAAGGCAGATATATAGTGCCAAGAGCCGTGCATGTCGTTGTGTTATTATTAGATGCATTTTGGGAAATGGAAAGAGAACGCATTTGCTTTCTGTCCCAGCAAACATCCCTGTGTGCGTGTGCGGATATTAATATGAATCCATACGTTTATCTTTCCCTTTTCACAGAAGCAGCATCAGCTCTCCCAGTCTTAATCTGGGCTGTCGGCTCATGGAGCGACGGTTTGATCATACAACGACTCCAGGAGACCTGCTGTGAAGAGATTATTCCTTCGCCACCACATGAGACGGTGTGTGTGTGATATTCAGACCGTAAAGCTGACTTGGTTTGTTTAGTTGAAAGTGTCCAAGAATTTTCATCTGCATTTGCATACTTTGAAAGTTACATTAAAGGGATAGTTCACTTTGAAATTAATTTTTGGTATTCTTACCTCAAGGGTGTCCAAGATGTAGGTGTCTTTGTTTCCGCAGTAGTTTCAATTTTTAGGTCAAACCGTTCTTATAATGGAGGTCTATGGTCACCACCTCAAAGAGCATGCACAGAGAAGTCCAAATTAAACATGATTACACACTGATGGCCTAAGACACGAAACGAGCGGTTTGTGTGAGAAAACGAACAGTATTTATATCGTTTTTACCAATTGTAACCACGGCCACGTCCAAGTGATCTGAAGGCGTTGGAAATCCGGAAAGCGTCGGAAGTGATCTCTCGCGCGGTTGCAAAAAAATAAAATAAAAATCAACGTCAGATATATCGAAATCGTCTTCCATTGCAATTTCCTGTGTATCTAAATGTGTTTAGATCTTCACAGTGAAGGGTAACTCTTCTGAAATCTCTGTGTAAACAATGAGTAATGTACTCACTTCTGGGGGTTTCCGGCGCCCCTCAGATCACTTGGACGTGGCTGTGGTTATAAATGCTGTTCGTTTTCTCACACAAACCGCTCGTTTCATGTCTTAGGCCATCAATGTGTACTTACATTTACGAGTCATTAAATCATGTTTAATTTGGACTTTTCTGTGCATGCTCTTTGAGGTGGTGACCATAGACCTCCATTATATGACTGACAGACAAGAACGGTTTGACCTAAAAATATCAAAATTGAAACTACTGTGGAAACAAAGACACCTACATCTTGGATGCCCTTGAGGTTAGCTAAAACATATTAAAAATTAATTTCAAAGTGAACTATCCCTTTAAATGTTTTACTTTTGAATGACACACTTACGTTCAAGCCATGAGGGCTGTAAAGTGGGTTTCCCCGCAGGCCATCGCTGTAACCCAACGACTGACCGATGGCGTGACGTATGGAGTCTCCCTGCGGAGAGAGAAAGACAGGATGGGAGATCATAAATGGTGAGAAATAATGAAGGACTGGCTGTGATATTATTGGTATTCTAGACACATTTCATATATATATATACATGCATACATGCACACTACCATTCAAAAGTTTGGGGTTAGTAGTAGACCATATTAAATTGATCAAAAGTGTCTGTAAAGACATGATGACTGAAAATCATCATATTAGAGTGATTTCTGAATGATCATGTGACACTGAAGACTGGAGTAATGATGCTGAAAGCTCACAGGAATAAATTACATTTTTATCATAAATTCGAATAGAATACAGTTGTTTTTTATTACTGTATTTTTGATCGAATAAATGCAGCCTGTTAAAGACATTTAAATTGTATTATGTTGTACGTTACAGCAGTGGTGGAGGAAGTACTGAATCTCAGTACTTAAGTAAAAGTACAAATATCCAGATAAATATTTACTTTAGTAAAAGTAGAAGTAACACAATGACAACCATACTTAAGTAAAAAGTACCTTATTTTAAATGTACTTTAAGTATTAAAAGTAAAAGTACTTGCATAACAATTTATATCTATTTTCTAATGATTAATAAAACATTTAATTCTAACGCATTCAACTTCATACTCCTATAATGATGTTCAATAATGATGGAAAAAAAATTCTGAAACAAGCTTGCAATTAGGCAATATAGCTACACATCATGCTTATTACTATATGTTAATAACTATGTTTGGCAGTAAACGCGATTCATTTATGGTGTAATTCTGAACCTCTTGGCTTGCCATAATCCTAACCAAACGTATACTACACACGGTGCGTTTCCTATGCACATAAAAACTAATTTTCGCGTTTAAATTGCACGATAAACACACTGCGTGCGAGACGCATTTAGTTGATGTATCTATGGCAACCAAACGTCACTGGTGAAACAAACGTGCAACGAACGGACGGTCAGATTACGGTTTGGCAGGGGAAAAACTGATCAGAAAATGTAATGAAAAAGTAACAGAAGTTGTAGAAATTAGTGGAGTAGAAAGTATAATAATTTCTGAAAAATGTAACAAAGTAAAAGTAAAAAGTATGCACTATTTATTCTACTTAAGATACGTGAAAAATGTACTTAAGTAAAGTAACAAAGTATTTGCACTGCGTTACAGTATATATTGTGCTCTTGTGTTGGTGTGTGTGATACCTGTGTCTGTGCTGGGACGGGGACCTGGGCCGGCTGGTATGACCCGTTCAGACTGGACATGCTCATAAACATGTCTCCCGAACCTGGCAAACTATACGAACCCGAAGACCCTGCAGAGAGACGGAGGAACGGTGAGTCTGTAAACATGCTTTTCTGCATATATCATATTACTGTAGCCTGCAAATGATCAAACCTGTTGCACACAACATGCCTTCTGTCGTCTGATCGATACATTTTTAGCAAGTAAAAGGCCTTTTAGTAGTAAACGTCCCCTTCAGCTACTGGTTCACGTACACTGAAAAAAATAATATGATTTATCTAATCAATAAAATTGTGGCAACATATTACAAGCAATATTATTAATTAAATTGTACAAATTAGAATTAATTAGAATGTTAATTTGATTAACTATTACTCAATTCTAATTCGTTCAGTTTAATAAATAATATTGCTTGTAATCTGTAGCCAAAATTTTATTGATTAGATAAAGCATATTCATTTTTACAGTGTAATAATACAATAAACATAATAATATCTTTTTTATTATTAGTGATAGGCTATTTCTAGTTGGACACTTACTGGACTGAAGCAACTTCACTTGATTATCCATTATTTGTTAGAAAAGATGTGAGTCTCAAATATGATCCATCAGGATTTTGAGGAACTTTTATCACTCAATCATTGTATTACATTGCATTAAATGTTTTTTAAAATACTACACTTTGATAATAAAACTAAGCATTTAAATATCACCGCGCTAAGACATTTTATAGTGAAATATAGACGACTATATGCGTTTTTAAGTAGTCAGCTCTGTACTGTTACTTTCTGGCCATATAAGTAGGGTTGGGTATCGAGAATCGAGTATCGATTGGAACCGGCACTAACTTTTCGTTTTTCCCGGAATCGTTCAAAAGTTTAAATTTCGATTCCTAGTTTCGATATTCACAGTCCGCCGAGCGGAAGAAGAAACCGCTGAACAACACCAACGAAGAAGCGTCTACCGGAAGTGTTGGCATAACCGCGCGAGTCGAACATGAATAGCTTACGTTTGGCGGTCCAAAGTGTGGTTTCACTTTTTTTTTTTTAAATTAACGAAATCTCAGCAAAATGCAAAATTTGTGACAAAAGGAGTATTTCCCTCAGAAAGGATTATTTCCTTCAGAAAGACTTGGTTAGCTAAACTTTTTTTGACCCTGCCTCTTAAAAGAATCGGAATCGAGAATCGTTAGGAACCGGAATCGAAACAAGGAATCGGAATCGGAATCAGAATCATTCAAATTCAAACGATACCCAACCCTACATATAAATATCTCCATTTGCACCATTTTGCAAAAAAAATTACCAAATTGCGCATTTTTGAATGACATTGAGGTATTTTTTTATCCTCGAGTACGAGTTCCACGTGCGACACTATATGAACAGTATCAGATATGATGATCCTCTATGATACTAAACTTTTTTTTGTCTAAAGGTTTAATTTACAGGGTTAAAATAATGATCCAAATGGATGTTTTTGGGGTCACACTGTATATGCACACAGAGACGGAGGAAGTGTCTTCAAGTCGTACCAGTGAAAATGTTGTTTAACAGGTTGTTTTTATCTTCTGTTGCATCCAATTGAAAGTCTTCATCTTTCATCTGAAAACCTGAGGAGAAAATGACACAACTCTTAAATGACTCATTTCAAATAATTAGACTAGATCTGCTGTATATGCAATAGGGGAGAGCGGGGCAAGTTGTCACAATTTTTACACAAGAAAATGCTTCATAGGGCTTTGTTTTCTTTGTAGAGACACAAACCTTTAAAGTTCTGCCTACAAAAATGTCCACTCTTACTGCCTAGGAGAAAAGATACAGTTCATTTAACACTCGCTGACCCCTATAGCAGGTCCCATCATGGGTTATTTAAGTGCTTTCAATTGCCAATTAATTTAAGGATACCACTGATTTGGGCAACAAAGGTTTATATTTGAAACCAACATGCTAAACTACTTCTAAAGAAAGCAAGTATTTGTGTACATGGACTCAAAACATTTGTGACAACTAGCCCCGGTGGTCTCGTCCATAGAGCGTGTGTGTGTGTGTGTGTACCAGAGCTGGGCGTTGCGGGCGAGTTGGTCTGGCTGTTGTGTACAGCGGCCGCTACGGCCTGAGTCGCCGTCACTGCTGTCTTCGCAGCGTACAGATTCGCCTCTTCCTGAAATTTACCAATGTTCTTCTTATAGCGAATACGTTTATTACCGAACCAGTTCGACACCTGAGAGCAAGAGAGAGGCAAATGTGGATGAATGTCATGAGGAAATGCTATATTATACATTATAAAATATCATTTTTAATCCCAAAATCAAAAAATATACACTAGCATTCACAAGTTTGATGTTGCTATGATTGCTTTCTGCTCACCAAGGCTGTGTTTATTTGGTCAAAAATACAGTAAAAATTGTGAAATATTATTACAATTTAAAATAACTTTTTACTGTGTGAATATATTTTAAAACGTAATTTATTCCAGTGATCAAAGCGGTATTTTCTGCATCATTACTCATTACTTTACAATAAGGTTCATTAGTTAACTACATTAGTTAGCATGGCCTAATAATGAATTATACAGCATTTATTAATCTTTGTAAATGTTAATTTCAATATTTACTAATACTTTATTCAAATCTTGAACTAACGTGAACAAACAATGAACAGCTTTATTTTTATTAACTAACATAATGGTTCGTTAATACATTAACTAATGGACCTTATTGTAAAGTGTTACCGAAATCACTCTAATATGATGATTTGTGCTTATTATTAATAATAGTTCTATGGTTTACATTTTAAAACGGTTATTATTATAATAATATTTCTCAATGTTACTGTTAAATAAATGCAGCCTTGATATGTTCATTTAATTGAATTGTCATGTTTTAATTATTCCAAACTAGTGGCTTTTTTGCATAAAGAGAATGAAGCCTCTTTTTGTATTGCGACATTTATTTCAATGAAAATGAAAAAAACATTTCTACCACAATAGAAAAAAAAAAGTCACCCAGACACGTTCCCGACACTTTTCATGACATTTACCTGTCGCATTTATAATAGTCCAATGAAATATATGCAGCAAACAAAACATTTACAGGTTCTCCGAAAACCATGTTTATACGTGTTTTACGGCGACTGTGATTCTCATACGGTTGTAAACGGACCAACCTTTTGCAAAAGAATATTAACGTTGCTACAAACCCAGACATATTAAAATCACATCCACCCCGAGCAATGGCTCCTTCATAAAATGTCTCCAAACAGGCTTTAAACTGCCGACGGGAGGCGGAACGGTTGAAGATGCGCAATAAAAACGCCTCGCTGATGTCATAATCTCGGGAGCCAATAAAAGACAGCCAGAGGACATGATCCAAGTGCAAAAAGGCATGTAACGGTTCCCAGTGGCGAGGAAACGTATGAGCGTCATTCAGTACACAGAGACATCTACAGACAACACACAGGACAGACGGACGCGTGTTTTAGTGACATACCTGTGACACAGTGATGGTGCTTCCCTTCCCCTAAGGGCACAAAAAGAAGGGGCTTTTTTTTACAGTAACGACTTCCTGTACACCCCACACACCCATCCATTACACAAACAACACCCGCTGAATAAAGGATAGACGTTCATCATTTAATTAAAGGGTTAGTTCACCTAAAAATGAAAATGATGTCATTAATGAGTCATTAAGCCCGTTCATCTTCATAACACAGTTTAAGATATTTTAGATTTAGTCCGAGAGTTTTCTGTCGCTCCGTTGGAAATGTGTGTCCGGTATACTGTCCTTGTCCAGAAAGTAAATAAAGACATCATCAAAGTAGTCATGTGACATCAGTTGGGTTATGGTGCGTTCTATTATTCATCCGAATCGGACGACAGACGTTGCCTAGCAACACGCCCCCTTTCCTCGGATTTCTCCTCTCGGACGTCGGACAACCGTGAGGACGCCGAGCAAGAATTCCGTTTCGGAATTCAAGATGGCTGCGCCCTGTGACTTGTAAGAATGAATTGTTTTTGAACCGCTTTGGTATTTTAAATGACGGTTATAATCACTGCGTCCCTGTAGGTATGGGAATCGGTTGTTGTGAGTGCAATTACTGACGTTGCTAGCGTTGCTAACAGAAGATTAACATGAAAAACATTAATAAAGTATTCAAGTTCAAACGGCTGACATTTTATAAACATAAACCTTTTCAAGTTCAAATGGCTGCGTTTTAATAAGGTGTAGTCATAATATTTATTTAATTTTTTTAATGTAAGTGCCTGGTACTCGGCCAGTGCTACCATTATAACAGCTTTCCGGGTGGCGTCCATTTTTTTCTCCGCCTCGGACGCGCAAAACAAATAGACCGCTTGAAGTGTGGACGTGACGTCAAATCCGAGGTCCGAGTCGGTTCGTTGGCTATAATAGAACGCACCATTAGTTACAGTGTTTTGAAGCATCGGAAATACATTTTGGTCCAAAAATTACAAGCATTGTATTGTCTTCGGTTCTGTTGTGGATCCGCGTTCTGTGACGCTGCTGACAGTGTTGTAGTAGTCGAGACTCGTCTCGGACTCGAGACCATATTTTAATGGTCTTGGTCTTGTCATGGACTCGTGTCCATTTGGACTCGGAATTGACTCGTACTCGAACATTTGTTTTTTTAGGACTCGGAATTATTCCCGAGTCCACTCGTGTTCAATTCAAAATATTTATCATGATTATTAATGTATGTGAATAAAATATTTCTTTAAATTGATTGACACGCCCAGTGATTGGTGATTTTCTAGTGCGCAACTGCGCATGACAAATTGTAATAAAATTACTTTTAACACCACCTACTATGTGGCCTTTTTACCCTAAACTGATCATATTTTTAAAACTCTAAGTAAATTCAGTAAAATAAAAAAAGGATTTCTCTAAGTAAATAAAAGTAAATTAGGTAATCAACCCTCACTGGTCTCGACTCGGACTCGACCGTCTCTGGTCTCGGACTCGACTCGGACTCGACTCTCTATGGACTCGGTCTTGACTCGGTCTCGACTCTCTCTGGTCTCGACTCAGACTCGACTCTCTCTGGTCTCGGTCTCGACTCGGACTCGACTCTCTATGGACTCGGTCTTGACTCGGACTCGACTCTCTCTGGTCTCGGTCTCGACTCGGACTCGACTCTCTCTGGTCTCGGTCTCGACTCGGACTCGACTCTCTCTGGTCTCGGACTCGACTCGGACTCGACTCTCTATGGACTCGGACTCGACTCTCTCTGGTCTCGGTCTCGACTCGGACTCGACTCTCTATGGACTCGGTCTTGACTCGGACTCGACTCTCTCTGGTCTCGGTCTCGACTCGGACTCGACTCTCTCTGGTCTCGGACTCGACTCGGACTCGACTCTCTCTGGTCTCGGTGTCGACTCGGACTCGAGTGAGGTGGTCTCGACTACAACACTGGCTGCTGACCGTGTTTCCGGGTTCTGGGCCAAAAAATGCAAGTGTTCCTCTGTGTGGAAATCCTTAGACATGTTTGTAAAGATTGTTTTGTACAGCGAGCGTCTCCCTCAGACTGTAACCGAAGCTCAGCCGCACCAGACACACGTCAGCCGCGTTTTAGGTCACTGAACGCGGATCCACGACAGAACCGGAGACAATAAAATGCTTGTTATTTTTGGACCGAAATGTATTTCCGATGCTTCAAAACATTGTAACTAACCCACTGATGTCACATGACTACTTTGATGTCTTTATTTCCTTTCTGGACAAGGACAGTATACCGAACACACATTTCCAATGGAGAGACAGAAAGCTCTCGGACTAAATCTAAAATATCTTAAACTATATATCTTAAAGGTCTTACGGGCTTGGGACGACACGAGGGAGAGTCATTAATGTAATCATTTTCATTTTTGGGTGAACTAACCCTTTAAGTTAATTTGAGAGCAACAGTCGGCCTCTGGAAGTAAGAATGCCATAATGTATAAACTGAGGGTGTTATAGGATTCTGCGCTGAAAATAAATTTGGTGTAGGACTTGCTTCGAAACAATTGCTAGTAAATGTCAGATATAATTACAAATAAACTGCTAGGAACACATTGATTTAAACATGAAATTTAGAAGTCGAAAGACTGAAAACATACATAATCTTTATTTAAAATTTTAAAAATAGATAAAAATCAGTTCTTCTGTGTCAGTGTGATTCCTTCTTATATTGTTACTAATTGCGAAATTTCCTCTGTATAAAATAAGATTTGTTATCACAACATTTTTTCTTTTGTCAAATCAACTTAAATAATTTATTTAGTTGAGATAACTTATTATTTTGAGTTTCTGACGGTTAAATTAATCTCCTTCATTGTATTAACTCACTTTTTCCAGTTCAATCAACTTAAAATTTTAAGGCAACCAAATTACTTAATTTTTTTAAGTTAAATCAACAATATTTTTTACAGTGTACATTACCCACAATCCTGAAGTAACAACTTAACCTAAAACTATTAAAAAGTAAGAAATAAATATGAGATTAGAACTTAAGTTAAACAAAATGAAAATAAAGAACAAACTGAAATAAACTAAAAATGAATTAATTGGATCAATTTTTAAAAACAAAAATGAATAAAAACATCAAATTAATAAGAATCGACAACTGAAAATACAAAATATCTTATAATATGAATGGATATGGAGGCTTGTTTCCGCCACCGAGTAAAAAAAATAAAAAAGGTAATTGGGACTTTTTATCTTACAATTCTGATTTTTTTTCTCGCAATTGCGCGTTTGCATCTTTTTTTCTCAGAATTACAAGATATAAACTCACAATTTTGAGGAAAAAAGTCAGAATTGTGAGATTAAAAATTCTTAAACTCTATTTAAACTTTATTTAGACATTTTTTATGAAGAAAAGCCATGGGAAAAATACTTCCAGGATCCATGCTGCAGAAAACTGTGCGCTCTCTCTAAATCACGCCCATTTGTTTGGAGATGATGTCACTTTGAGCCAAATTCTCTGCACCTTCACAGTGTCACAGACCACCGCTAACAAATTTGTTAGTGATTTTGCTCAGATTGTGAATAAACTCTCCTCTTGTTTCGCAGCTGAAGGCTCGTGTGCGCAGTATCGTCTGAGAACTGGACTCACCTGCGACACGGTGATGGCACACTTCTTCGCCAGCTCCTCTTTCGCCTCCTCGCTGGGGTACGGGTTACTGAGGTGAGAGTAGAAATACTCATTCAAAATCTCCGTCGCCTGCTTGCTAAAGTTGCGCCTTTTCCTCCTGGAGAAGTTTAAAATGCAAAAAAATTGTAAGATCCTGAAGCATTTCTATATCTTTATATACTAAAGGTTATTAAAGTCAGTATGATACTCACTAGCAACACCACAGAATTTCACCAATAATCAATAAAAACAATGTTTTTAAAGGTTTAGCTGGTTATTATGCTTGGATGACGATGCTGTAACTACACCATAAAGCATAAAGTATGTATTATTGAATAATAATAATAAAGTTATAGGTCCCTGATGTGGCCCAAAACAATTGATTTGCTTAACCCCAGCGTAAAGCCTGACATCTGAAATGATGGAATGGAAAATCGAAAGAACAAAGTTTGCATGTGTCGTTTTGTTGAATCTCATATTTGATGCATTACACTGTAAAAATGAATATGCTTTATCTAATCAATAAAATTGTGGCAACAGATTACAAGCAATATTATTTATTAAATTGAACAAATTAGAATTGAGTAATAGTTAATCAAATTAATATTCTAATTAATTCTAATTTGTACAATTTAATTAATAATATTGCTTGTAATATGTTGCCACAATTTTATTGATTAGATAAAGCATATTATTTTTTTTCAGTGTACGCTTTTATGGCTCAGATGATACAGTGAGAACATGGATCTCATACTTGAGGAGCAAAAAACACCTCAATTTTATATTCAGAGAGCAAAATATGCAATTTGGTGCAACTTTATAAAAGTATAGCAGATATTTACACAAAATGCATATAAATATCAGTCGTAACTCTATATCTACCAATGACATGTCACTGTAAAAATGAATACGCTTTATCTAATCAAAACAATTGTGGCAACAGATTACAAGCAATATTATTAATTAAATTGAGCAAATCAGAATTGAGTAATAATTCATCAAATTAATTCCTTAAAAGTTAAAATGAGTAAAACTTACAACAACAACCCAAAAAAAAAGTACATATCATTTTTGGTGTTTGTTTTAGGTTTGTTTTAAAATGACGTTTTTCTCTTTCAGTGATTCTGCTTGTTAACAATATAAAATAAAGAGTTCTTAATTCATCTTTGACGTCTGTCTGTTAGTGAGATATTTTTTTTGGTGTAAACTTTACTCATTTTAAACGGTTAACTTTTAAGGAATAATTTGATTGATTATTACTCAATTCTAATTTGTTATATTTAATTAATAATATTGCTTGTAATCTGTTGCCACAATTTTATTGATTTGATAAAGCGTGTTAATTTTTACAGTTTATTAGATGATATTTAAATGCAATGCAACGTCATCAATGAGACTGGATTAAATCTGACCTTAGCAGCCACTCTCTCTTTATGATGTCATCAATGAGCCCACCAATGGCTGTTCTGCTTCATTTGCATGCATTTGAATAATTCTCTGACGAGCAGATTTCTACATACAGTAATTTACTCTTAGCTTTAAGTAACTGGACCAACCAATTGGAACTAATTGGCACATTTCCACCCAACTCATCCCTTAAATACTCAAACAGAGGATTCACAAGACGTTAACATCACCACATCACCCACTCGTTCACACAAACCCACACTAGCAAAAACACCTACACGTGTAAAAACAGACACACAACCAATAATCATTTTTCTTTATTAAGCAAATGCTTATTATTTACAGTGCATGATAAGTAGAACAGTCACTCAGGGGCAAAATCATGTTTTGTGCTTTGTATTTTAGAGCAAAACCCTGAGGCTCATTCACTAACCACCAGCAATCCAAGCATTATCTACAATGATGCGCCCGAAGCCGAAGATTATGCTCGGAAAGGAAATGACGCATTCTACGGAGCCCCAGAAGGGACATGCTGATGGAAAAAATACAAGACTGGTGAAAAAAATATGTTCATCTAACATACTGTAAAAGTTTGTGTTTATATACACTCTAAAACATGCAGGGTTGTTTAACACAAATTTGGGACAAACAAATGTAAACAATTTTTTTTTAAATGTACCTAAAAAAATGTTACCAAATGTCTGGGTTTGTCAATATTTGACCCAAAGTTGGGGTGAAACAACCCAGCATTTTTTAGAGTGTAATATATGTGTATATATATATTAGGGGTGTAACGGTACACAAAAATCACGGTTCGGTACGTACCACGGTTTTAAAGTCAAGGTTCGGTACGTTTTCGATACAGCAAAAAGAAAGAAATGCCAGAGAAATTTCCTATTTGTTTAAAGAAAAAATATTTTTAAATAAGTGTGAGTTTTCTACGGAAGCCCTGAACCGCAACCTAAAAAAAAAAAAAGTCAGTAAAAAAAAAAAAAATCTGTAAAAAAAAAAAAAAAAATCTGTAAAAAAAAAAATAAAATCTAGCATTTCGAGATTAAAGTCGAAATGTTTCGAGATTAAAGTCGAAATGTTTCGAGATTAAAGTCGAAACATTGTGCATTCATAACAGTGCGCGTCCACTGGCTCAGAGCGCGCGCGTGTGCGTGTGAAGTCGAACTGCCATGGATAAACACAAAATAGTAGCTTTTTACTTTTATCTGAATTACTTATCTTACTTTATCGTTATAAAATATAATGCGCCGGAATAGACTTTAGCCTATAGGAAAACCAACATGGAAAACACTTTTCAGACTGGATGGAGAAATCCAGCTTTATGAATGAATGAAGAATGAATAGGGCATTTATATAGCGCTTTCATATATGCCTACACTCAAAGTGCTTTACAATCATATCAGAGAATGTCTCCTCAACCATAAGTGGTTATTAAATCTTAGGAAATCACAGGATCCGGCCAAATGATTGGATACAGAATGATGCACTTAAAATGTATCCAGAGCGTATTTACGTTGAAGAGGGAGACCGAACAGTTACTGATGTGTTCTCGACCCAGTGTTGACTAGACGAGCACGAAAACACCTCAGAAACACTGCCACTAGCACGTGTGACGTGTGTAGAATTTTGTTGAAAGCCCAGATAAAAGTAAAAAGCTACTATTTTGTGTTTATCCATGGCAGTTCGACTTCACACACACACACACACACACACACACGCGCGCGCGCACGCTCTGAGCCAGTGGACGCGCACTGTTATGAATGCACAATGTTTCGACTTTAATCTCGAAACATTCCGACTTTAATCTCGAAATGCTAGATTTTTTTTTTTTTTACAGATTTTTTTTTTTTATAGGTTGCGGTTCAGGGCTTCCGTAGTTTTCCTAGATCTTGAAACTTTCAGGTTTATAAATGGGGGTCATCTTTGAAGGATGAACAAATAATGTTTTGGTCATCACATTAAAAATAACATTTAAATATATATTTATTTATATAATATTTGAATTTTGAAGTGCTGGAAAAAGATGTGTGAAGTACTTGAAAGCATTTCACCATTCCAGCCAAACTGGTTCCAGTTAGTGTTACTATATTAAATCCATGGTGAATGTTGCTGGTCTGTGGACGTAAAGTACTAGTTCATTCACGGCACAATGTTTCTCCTGGTTTCCACGTCAGCGCTGTTTGATCTAATAGAGATCTACGGTTAATAACGGAGAAATGTGAATGCATCTCACTAGATCTCGCAGCGATGTTATTACCTCAGTGGCGAATTCAAATGTTTTCTTTACCGGATCTCTTAGCGCTGTGTAGTAACAGTGTTGCTTGATCGAGATCGGCTCGCGCTGCACAGATGTTGCTGGTCCGAACTGATAAACGATCCGTTAAGCACATAACGAGGAGCGCAGTTTCGTTCTGCTTTCATTACGCTTGCCGTTTGATGTTGCGCAACGTTGTGTTGGCCGCGTCAGCACGAATTTTGCCGGCAGGAAAAATGGTCCAAGCAATCGTTCGGTTTGTATGTGTACCGAACCGGAAGCCTCGAACCGAAACGGTTCAATACGAATACATGTACCGTTACACCCCTAATATATATATATATATATATAAATCTGTGTGTGTATACACACACATCCAAATCATATACACACATGTTAATGTGTGTTTTAACATCGCTAAGAAAATTCCCGCTCCTCCGTGAGAGATACGAGACCGGTGCGTCTCACAGGTGTCGCTCATCGGTAATCACGCCACCGGCCTCGCGCCGTTCTCCCGCGGCCCTCACTCGTCCCGCTCGCCACAGGAAACATGATGAATGGCGACTGTAGAACGCAAAAGCCCAATCCCGGACATTTCGGGCAATCTCGAAACACATCTTCGGGCAGACTCATCACGAGACTCACTAGTAGCCTAGACTTGTTGTTTAACGACTGCGCTCTGTCACCGGTAGGCGTGGCCTCCTAGGGGAGCGACGCAAGTGCATTCTGGGAGTTGTTGTCTTTCATCCACATAAGCCAAAAATACATTTTCTGGCTTTTCTCAGTCTAGAAAGTCCTTTAAATGTTATGCAAGTAGTTTTGGGTGAAACTAAAAGGAAACGTGCGTGAGTTTTCTGACCTGGCGTCGAGGAAGCGTGACCTGAGGATCATCACGGCCTCACAGGTGCTCTGCTTCAGCTGCATCTGGATGGAGCTGAACTTGCGGTGGATGATGTTCACCATGCGCTCGATCTCTTTTGGCGAGATGGGTCGCGTACGAGACTGTTCCCTCAACAGGTTCATCACATGAGTCGTGAACTCGTTGCACGCCTGTGAACCAATCAAATGACTCGTAACTGTTCATTGAAATAAAGCTGAAATAAAAATAAATTATAAATATTAGATGAAAAGCACTGAGTTGAGGCACTAAAGTATCTGGAAATATATCAAATAAAAAATTTAAATTTTAAAATGACCTTGACAACTAACTATTTTAAGGACTAAAATTGGTATTAAAATTAGTAATCTGGGGATTTTTTTATCTAACAATACAAATAAATTATCTAAATTAAAATAAAAAAATAACAATATAATGATAAAATAAATAAATATATTTTTAAAATATTTGAAGAAAATTACTAAAAATTAAAGTAAATATAAAATGAAAACATGCTGCACGCCAGTGAACTAATCAAATTGCTCACAACCAAAAAACAAAAAACAACAAAAAAATTGGTAGCACTTTACAATAAGGTTTCATTTTTTACTTAACATGAACTATAATGAACTTTGTTAACGTCAATCTCAACATTTACTAATAATGTTAACATTAGTTAGTGAACTGTGAACATGATTGATTATTTCTATCAACAAACATTAACAAGGGTAAATAAATAATGTAAAATATATTTCACATAGTTAGTTCATATGAACTAATGAGACCTTATTGTAAAGAGTTACCATAAAACTTAAAATACATCAAAAACTTAACTAAAACTAAATCTGACATAAACATTAAATTAATTTATAAATGGATATATTTAAAAAATAACTATAAATTGAACTAAAATGAACAATAGAAAAAATAAAAGTTAACGAACTATAACAGTACATATATCACGAGCAGTGCTAGGATGTGTGATTCTTCCTCATGTTTCTGCAGGTTCATCATTCTCCTGACCTGCTCGTATTTCTCCAGCTCGGTGTGGTAGATCTGTCTGATCTGAGTGAGTTTTGCTCTGTAGTCCGAGTGCTCGATGGAGTTGTCGGCCCCGACTCCCACCGCTGCTGTTGCCGCAGCAACCGCTGATGCCCCGCCCCCTTTCTCTGGCCCAGACACGCCCTCTGCCAGGAGCATGTTATCCAGACGCATGAGCTGAGGGTCCGGAGGGTCTTCATCAGGACTGCCACGGATACTGAGACCTGCCGCAAAACAGACACTTTAAAGATGAATATGCAGGAAGCAGATCTTCATGTTTCAGACACGGCTTAGAGTGGCATAAGATAGGGTAGGGAGGGATTAAAGAAAGTGAAAGCATAGACTTTTTAATGATGATGATGATGAAGTGCTCACGAAAGAGATAGATAGATGGGTAGGTACGTAGGTAGGTACATAGGTAGATAGATGGATGGATGGATGGATAGATAGATAGATAGATGGGTGGATGGATGGATGGGTAGATAGATAGATAGATAGATAGATAGATAGATAGATAGATAGATAGATAGATAGATAGATAGATAGATAGATAGATAGATAGATAGATAGATAGATAGATAGATAGATAGATAGATAGATAGATAGATAGATAGATGGGTGGATGGATGGATGGGTAGATAGATAGATAGATAGATAGATAGATAGATAGATAGATAGATAGATAGATAGATAGATAGATAGATAGATAGATAGATAGATAGATAGATAGATAGATAGATAGATAGATAGATGGATGGATGGATGGATGGATGGATGGGTGGGTGGGTGGGTGGGTGGGTGGGTGGTGGATGGATGGATAGATAGATGGATGGATGGATGGATGGATGGATGGATGGATGGGTGGGTGGGTGGGTGGGTGGGTGGGTGGGTAGGTAGGTAGATAGATGATAGATAGATAGATAGATAGATAGATAGATAGATAGATAGATAGATAGATAGATAGATAGATAGATAGATAGATGGATGGATGGATGGATGGATGGGTGGGTGGGTGGGTGGTGGGTGGATGGGTAGGTAGATAGATAGATAGATAGATAGATAGATAGATAGATAGATAGATAGATAGATAGATAGATAGATAGATAGATAGATAGATAGATAGATAGATAGATAGATAGATAGATAGATGGGTAGATAGATTGATAGATGGGTTGATAGATAGATAGATAGATAGATAGATAGATAGATAGATAGATAGATAGATAGATAGATAGATAGATAGATAGATAGATGGGTAGATAGATTGATAGATGGTTGATAGATAGATAGATGGGTTGATAGATAGATAGATAGATAGATAGATAGATAGATAGATAGATAGATAGATAGATAGATAGATAGATAGATAGATAGATAGATAGATAGATAGATAGATAGATAGATAGATAGATAGATAGATAGACAGATAGATAGACAGATAGATAGATGGGTAGATAGATAGATAGATAGATAGATAGATAGATAGATAGATAGATAGATAGATAGATAGATAGATAGATAGATAGATAGATAGATAGATAGATAGATAGATAGATAGATAGATAGATAGATAGATAGATAGATAGATAGATGGGTAGATAGATTGATAGATGGGTTGATAGATAGACGCACAGCACTGCCCCCCTCCCGTCCTCCGCCATTACTGCACAGCGCAGGATTAGTCTGTTTATCAGAGGTCGCGTCAGCGAGCGAGGTGTGTGTGTGTGCCGGAGAATGATTGACAGTGGCAGGTCTCTTCACTGAGGTGGGTGGAAGAAAAGCGCTGTGAGCCGTTCAGATGTGCTCCAGCGATCAACTCCAGCGGCCGTCTTTAATTCCACACCAAAGACTCTTCTGGCACCTCACGTTTGATTTGGAGTTTGCAGGCAATGGAGTGGATGCTCACGTGAGCGTGCGAGGAAAAAAAATGCTCTGCTGATATATATATATATAAATGTTGTTTTTAAGGATTTTGTCATTCTGCTCTCTCTCTCTCTCTCTATATATATATATATATATATACAGGGCTTGACATTTACATTTGCCAACCCGCCAAATGTGTGTGTATTTCAGCAGTGGCGTGTAACCAGAGCCCGTCTAACGGAGAGCCTCGGCACTTCCTATTAGCCCCATTGTGTATCATCCTGGTTGCAGTTCCATTAGAATTCCACTGGAGGTGATCACGGGCGAGCGCAGAATGAATGGGAGTCTATGGGGCAAAACGGCTAAAAGTGTCTCTTTCACCTGCTTGTCGGTAAATCAAAATAGATTTTATTGTTGATTCCGCAAGTTCAATATAGATTATAGGCCAAAAGTCGAATGAACGAGTACTTATGTCCTTTTGATTTCTTACAGGTTAGGCCGTTGTTGGCCGGATAACGCTAGCATTCTGCTATTGTGTGACGTCATCACAGTTTTGAACGGATTTTTAGAACAGATAAGTGAACTTAAAAATGCAATTTTCAGCTGAGTGTATTTTCTTATCCCTCCCTTTTGAATGCAACTTTTAAATTACTTGACAAAAAAATGACATCCTGAGAAAAGTGGATTTCTGGGGGTGAAACCCCATTGACTCCCATTCATTCTGCACTCGACCGCCAGCGCCCCCGCATGGACAGAGACGCGTTACTGCAGCCAGTCCAGAACCCGGAAGTAACCAGCCAGTGCCAATTCTCTTCAATTAGACATTCTCTGGTGTAACGCAGTCATTCGTATTAGCCACTTTAGCAGGTTGCTTTATGCCGAGCGTCACGTGACCAAACCGGAAAAAAGGTCTCATCGCATCCGCTTGTCAGAGAAACTGTTAACGGCCATTAAAAACTGACTACAATATCTATGGATTTCAGCTAACCTACCTAGTTCACTTTGTTATTGGCGTTTTATTCCATTTAAATATCTAAACGTTACTGCGACGTTTAAATATCAATCTGCACATGTGAGGGACATTGGTTATGCTAATCTTTGCTCGCTCCTTTTAAGTTATCTTGAGTAAAACCACAAAAAAATCACGAAGCACATACAAAAGACCAGAACCGGAAGCGATGCGACCTGTTTTACAGAATGCGGAAGTAAGTTGTGCATAGAGCCTATTTATACATTTTATAAAGGCATCTAAAATAATAAACTAAGTGCAATGTATTGTTGTCAAAAATATTGATATTTCAATACATATCGATAATGAAATATCTGAAACGCGTTTAATACTAATTTTTCCGGGATTAAATATGATTACCATAATATGATACCATATCCTGGAATATGATACTGCTCCGACAGCGTGTAACGCACAACCCCGCCTCCACTCACTCATTGCTCCGGATGAATATCGTTGGTGTTACACCGTTTTAATTTCGGCGTTGGATTGTGTATTGTGTCATTTTACTAATTCACACATATTTTGTGCTCAAACACCCAAAGTGCGGCACATAAAGCCTCTCAGTACTAAATTGATTTCTTTTTCACTGCTTATTGCGCTTAAAGAGTCAAATACACACTAAATAATGTCAAAATGCTGGTCTTGAGAAGTATTCATGTAAACACACTTTTCATAAAATGCATATAACGGATGTAATGGATCCATCTATCAGGTCTTAAAGTGACAGCAGCCTAATATACCTGAAGAAATAATATTAAAAATATATATATACATTCGAGGAATCATTAATGTCATGAATTTTAGATAGTTTAGATCACACAGTCTTACCATAAACAAACTAATAAACTTAATGTGATGCATATTTGTCAGTCATACATAAATGAAAAGGGTTAGATTTCTGTAATAGTAGCCTACTAATAAACTGAATATGATTAAAATTCAAAAGGTTTATTTAATTGAATATTACTGGTTCCATATTATGTTCATACTTATTAACCGAATAAATCCAATTGATTTCACAATGAACAGATTTATGCAATTTGAACAAATGCATCAAATCGAATAGCTGCAAATAGTTAATAAGTACATAAATGTTATGTATGGCTGACAAATATTGCTCTATACTATTTCTGGATGTTATTTACTCATTTCTTTGGAGAAAGACGCATTAGTGAGCATAAGATGAGCTATGAAATAGAAATGAATCTCACATTCAGTGCAATGCCATTGTTGTGCAGTTTTAGGTGATTTTGAAGATGCTCTTTCAAAAAACCCGAGGACAAGATTGTAAACACGCCACAGCTGCTAAGAATGACTAGAATAAGACACACACACAAACACACACTGCCCTCCGGACACGCATACACACACACACGCACAGTATTCACGAGGTCAATGCGAGATGACATTTAAAGGCAAAGGCAAACTAACACAAGACGGAAGGACTGAATGTGAGAGAAAGCATGAATCAGAAGCCTCAGCATATGAACATTTGCTCTGCTCTTAATCTTCTTGTAATTTCATCTCTGTCCTTTTCCTTGGTGTTGCTTTCATTTTTAATGGCAACAAAATGGTAAAGGTAGCACTAGCCACATTCCCTATTCAGACCTCAGGCACAGAAATGCTAATTCAGCACAGAGCACATCGCATCTCATGCATCTCTGTTTAAGCAGACGTCCAATTAGTTAACGGTGACTGAAACAAAACAGGATCGACAGAGAGGTGCATATTATATACATTCATAACTATAGTGATGTCTGACGTATTCCAAATATGTCCATAACGAATCATTGTGGCGGTATCATAAATTCGGTATACACACACAACACACAACGTCATGGTCAAAAGTTTACATAGACCATGCAGAATCTGCAAAATATTCATAAATTTAGCAAAATAACAGGGATCATTAAAAATGCATGTGTATATATGTCTATAAATAGACTCAAACCCCTTAAAAACGAACCGAACCAAACCAATACCATCTCGGGAAATGATCTGAGTACGGTTCATATATATATATATATATATGGTAACACTTTACAATAAAATTAATTAGTTAACATTAGTTAATGTATTAGCTAACATGAACTAACCATGAGCAATACATTTGTTACTGTATTTGTTCATCTTTGTTAAAGTTAGTTAATAAAAATACAGCTGTTCATTGTTTGTTCATGTCAGTTCACGGTGCATTAACTAATGTTAACAAGATTTAAATAAAATATTAGTAAATGTTGAAATTAACATTAACAATGATCAATAAATGCTGTATATGTGCAGTTCATATTAACTAATGTAGTTAACTAATGGACCTTATTGTAATGTGTTACCATATGTGTGTGTGTGTATATTCAATTTACTATTCAACATCCTGTCAAATTTGATTTATATTGGGGGAAAAATAGAAATTTAAAGTAGGGCGCATGATTAATCCCGATTAATCGCATCCAAAATAAAAGTTTGTGTTTACATAATATATGTGGGTGCAATGTGTATAATTATTTTGTATATATAAATACACATACATGCATGTATATTTAAGGAAAAAATATCATTTATATATATATATATATATATATATATATATATATAAAATATTTATATATAATAAATAAATTATATATAAATGTATATACATGAAAATATTTCTTAAACATATACAAGCATTTGTGTGTATTTATATATATATATATATATGTATATTTATATATATATATATATATATATAATATTATACAGTGCACCCACATATATTATGTAAACACAAACTTTTATTTTGGATACAATTAATCACGGCTAATGGTTTGACAGCCCTAATTTAAAGGCATTCTTAGTTTAATTTTAAAAGCACAACCCTGCTTTAAACACTGGGTTACCAAATGTGTACTGTTAAAAAAGATGGAGGTGTTCCTCGTGGTGTGTTTGCCAGTGAAACGAGATGCTGATGACAGACTGAGGCCTGATAGTGAGTAAACAGCTGTGTGCTGAAGCGTCTGCTCTCAGGGTAACGGCAATTTAACTTCTCCACCTGACACCTCACATGAAGCGCTCCACACGGAGACATCTGTGGATAGCCTATTTGTTTTGGATAAAACGTGGTGGATTTCTGTGCAATTACTGTGAGAAGTGTATAGTATCAAATTATGCACATACTGTAATGCATATGTATTTTAGAAGTTTACTTAATTTTGATGTCTTAGTCACATTTGATATCATAAATCATTATTTATTATATGAAATGATTGTAATTTGGAACGGATACTAACATTTTCAACAAATAACTGAATAAAAAACAAATTGGGATAAATTGAAAATCCCATTTGTCAGTTTTTCTCTTTTTATAATTTTTCTAAAAAAAATGTGGTTTCAAAAATGTGTTTGCAAAGCATCACGATTAATATTGCTCATGCTTTTTCTCTTGTTTCCACACTTATACGTCAACGAACTGGACTGAAAACAGAGCATCGTTTTTTCTTTGCGTTTTTCGCATTCAGGTTATCAAAACGATCCCCATTCATACGGATCAGGGAAAACGATTAAAAACGCTGTATTCTGCTGCCAGGCCAGTAGTTGGCGATGATGTCACTTTGTATAGAAACACTACACGCCTATAGCTTGGCTAAATCCAGACCATGCATCATTGAGAATGAAACGTGGTCTGGAAACCACATGTTTACGAATGCCCAGAGCCGTATTATTGGGTGCTACTACGAATGTCTATCAAATGCTCCCCGTTCTGTGATTGGTTCCCTATTTCAGGGGAAAATTTGGTTCGTCACCATTTTCACAAATTTGCGGGGTTTTTTTTTAGTTTACACGGAAACAATAACGGTATCATTTTCAAAAACTTGAACTCTGAAACCATTTTTCAAAAGTTTTCGAAAGGCCACCATAATGCTAGCCTGGATGCCAGCCCGAACTCCGCCCACAACATTTTTTGGTCCGGAAGTTCAGTCTGTACTCGATCCATTGAGGAGTAATTATGATCAGGCAAAAAACGATCGGGCCAATCAGATTGCCAGGGCGGGCTTCATCAAAGATGACTGGAGCTGGAGAATTGAGATGTATAGATTCCACTTTCGCGTCTGTTGTAAAAAATATCCAATATCCGACTATCCAATTGAGTGTTTTTTTTTCCTGGTTCGGTTACGACACGCCTCATAATCAAAGCCCAACTGAGGAGTTTCAGACTCATATTCTCTCTTGAATATGAGTATGACGAAGTCAGGCTACCATAATGCCAGTTTGCACTGAAACTCTCATTTGGACCTTGAACCGTTTGGTTCCCATTGAAGTCCATTATATATAGGAAAAATCCTGGAATGTTTTCATCAAAAACCTTAATTTCTTTTCGACTGAAGAAAGAAAGACGTGGACGTCTTGGATGACATGCAGTGTAAAAAATTTTTTTTTTAAAGATTTGTTATCACAACATTTTTTCTTTTGTCAGATCAACTTAAATAATTTATTTAGTTGAGATAACTTATTATTTTGGGTTTCTGATGATTAAATTAATCTCCTTCATTGTATTAACTCACTTTTTCCAGTTCAACCAACTTAAAATTTTAAGGCAACCCAGGTTACTTACTTTTTAAA